AATTGAACATGACATGAAGTGTCTAAAATAAATGTGCACAGTTCACCTGAATGATGAAGTTTACTTTGACTGTATGGTTTGCACAAAATTAACAAACTACACTGAAACAAAATAACCAGAACATTAACAATAACTGATAGAGCTCGTGGTTTATCTGTCAATCAGATCAGCTCTCAGCCACTGATCTATGCTCGGGAGGTTTTCTTTTATAATTATCATTGGGTGATAGAAATGTTTTTAAAAAAAATAGTATTTTAGATGGAAATAATATCAAGACCCTTGATCACGTCATGATCTATTCTGTCGTGCAGCGCTCAAAATTGTGGACAACAGGTCCACCGTAAAATAACCTCTGAATCGTTTTTTTGAACTGGTTCTAATGACTTCTAATCACTTTTAGCGATCATGAGTGAGGCGAATGGTAGTAAAAATATAAAAATGAAAATAATCTTATACGGCTTTTAGCGAGCATGACGGGAGGTGAATGGTGCTTCTCAAACGGAAGGCTGCATCCTAAAATTCAGATGATCTCCGTACCGACTTGTTTTCTTTCAGTTTATTTTCGTGAATTTAAATGTGTACAGACTTCGTAGGATGCAGCCTTCCGTTTGAGAACCACCCACCCATAGATAAGCTTTCTTGAACTGAAAAGGGCTCTGAATGAGGAGTCGATTCCCCTTGATGGAATCGATTCCTAACTTTGGAATCAACTCTCGATTCCCAACGCCTCGGAATTGAGGAATCGATTCTTTTTGGAATCGATTCCCAGCCCTACCGTTATGTGCCTCAGTCTGAATCCAGCGCTGAACAGTGAACACCGAGAAATCTTCTAAAAACACCCGAAGGTAAGGTTGCTTAAAACAAGGATTTAATTTTCACTTCTCTGTGTATAGATTAGCTTATCTACCACAAGGTCCTGGACATTTTTAAAAGAAATTATCCACAAAAAAATTAAAGATATGACTACATTATTTTATTTTATGTAAAATTATTTGTTATTTCAAAATGGTATTTTACGTGTGTCGAGTTAGATTAGGGTTTCTGTTATCGACTATTAAATTAACAGATGAAGCCAGTGACCAATGGCCATTACGCCCTTCATACACGCTGCGTACGTTAACAGTTACCACATTATTTTGGCGTAACGTTAACGAATAGCCTTATAAGAAAATTAAATGAAGCTTGGTTGATTGATTAAGCCTATTATTTTGCATTCGTTCAGATCATGTGTAAGTTGTATAATAATGTGGCATGTTAATTTAAACCCCATCTTGATTATGCTAGCGGCTAACAGGTTTTTCTCACGTGAACCTCTCGTATCTTTTGTTGTTGTTGTTTTACTGAATGTGTTGACGTATAATTATTAAAAAAGTACACATTTTAAAAGCGCATTTCCTTACACTAAGCTGTCTTTATATTTATTAGTTGCGAAAAAACAAACAAATAACATTGGCCTTGTTTGGAGCTGGCATTCACCGACATAAACAAGATGGGCTGTAAGGTGCTGTGTCCCAGTGTTGCTCTCCTTGCTTATCTTATGATCTGTGAACATGTCCGAGGTGAGTATCTATCTATCTATCTAGATCTTTAATTAATTTTAACTACGATTACTACGAAACTTAAAGCTTTGTGGCTTTTGGTGTGTGTGTTAGCATTAAGATAATCTAAATGCTAGTGTAGAAAATTAACCTGCATCAGATATACGGATTTAACATTTACAGTCTCTCTGTCTTTTGGCAATACCATACAAAAATATTCATGACACATAACGTCTCCAGTTACTATCGTAGCCTAGGTTCCCTGAGAGCGGGAACCAGACACCACAGAGACATTTCTCCGTTATGGGAACACCTTCCCTTCCAACATTTCCTGAAGTCAAATTTCCAGTCAACTCAAATGAGTGGCCAATTGTTGCGAAGTATGCAAATCGCATGCAAATACTGACAGGCTCGAGAGGCAGTATAAGGCCATGTCCACAGGTACACTGGTATTTTTATAAACAGTTTTTCCTTCTTCCATTTAAAAAAAAATCTCCTTCCACATGAAAATGCAAACGCATGCTATGAAGCACTGTCAAGAGCATGCCAAACCAACAGGTGGCGATATAATCTCAACCGTAAAGCCATGTTGGCCAATCAGAAGCCTGAAAAAGTCTCCAGTAGGTGGTGATAACAGCGCAGGCGCTGACGTCACAAGCCAAAAACTCCGGTTTCGCTGTCTACACGATAACACTGCAACCGGAGTTTTTGAAAAACTTCACCCTGGCAGGCGTTTTCAAAAATAGTCGGTTTCAGTGAACTGGTGCTGCGTTTGCGTGTGGACGAACGGCCTAACCGCATAGAAAAAGCTGCGTAATAACCGCGTTCGTGTGGACAGGGCCTTGACGTCACAAGCCAAAAACTCCGGTTTCGCTGTCTACACGATAACACTGCAACCAGAGTTTTTGAAAATCTTCACCCTGGCAGGCGTTTACAAAAATGTTTTGTTTCAGTGAACTGGTGCTGCGTTTGCGTGTGGACGAACGGCCTAACCGCATAGAAAAAGCTGCGTAATAACCGCGTTCGTGTGGACAGGGCCTAAAATGCGGTGCACGCGACAATTTACGTCAGAATCTGATACTGAACACCGCTTTGCTGGTCGAGCAGCGAACAAGGCGACCTCCGTGATGTCTCGTTCCCGCTCTCAGGGAACCAAGGTTACGATAGTAACCGGAGACGTTCCCTCTCAAGCTTTCACGAGACATCACGGAGACATTTCTCCGTTATGGGAACGATATTCAATCCCGCCGTGAGAGAGGCTACGAGCAGTCTGCACAAGTCGCATACTCAGCGAAGATAGAACACACGATTCCCACAACCAATAGCGATGCTTGTTAGGCGGGCTTGCAGCTGATAGGTGGAGATAAGCCAATGAGCGTCTAAAGCCCAGGTATACGAAATTTGCATATCTGGTCAGTGATAACGTATGCTGCGCTGAGAAACAGGGCAGAAGCAACAACAACCACAGTATTGTGAGGGGGGCTGCACAGAGATAACGGTGTTAAGCAGCAGTATAACACATAAGATGATGATGGTACACCAATCGAATTAGACATTGAATAGCAGGAGCTGCACTGAGTACAGGGCAGACAACAGCAACAATAGCATATAGGGCTGGTCAGAGTAATTAATGTGCGAGGCAGCAAACACATGAATGGAGGTAGCATAAACGTGAATCAGTCACTCACCAACAGCACTTGGGAGGCTAAGGAATGAGTGTCCAGCTTGTAAAACCTGGCGAAGGTATTCTGAGAAGACCAGCCGGCTGCAAAGCATATATCCTGAATAGACATACCTCTCGACCACGCCCAGGAGGAGGCGATAGCTCTTGTTGAGTGGGCCCTAATGTGCAAAGGACATTCCAAACCTTGGCTTGTATAACAGCCGTGAAAGCGTCCACAATCCAGTGGGAAAGCCTCCTTTTTGACACTGCCCGGCCCTTCGCACAACCACCGTAGCACACTAAAAGCTGGTCAGATTGCCGAAAGCTGGCCGAACGGTCAATGAAAATCTTCAAGCCCTGACGGGGCACGCCAAAATCTGAGCGTCCGAATCACGCAAGGTCGAGGACTCAGAAGACAGGGCAGACAGCGAAACAGTCTGCGCTCTGAGGGGGTAGATGGTCATTTAGGCATGTAGCCCAGTCTCGGCCGGAGAGTGACGCTGCAGTCACCGGGTCCGAAGTGAATACAATCGCTGTCCACAGAAAACGCATGTAAATCCCAGGGGTCGAAATTAACTTTTTTACTTTGTAGCACTGGTGCTCCCAACTTCAAAAAGTTAGGAGCACTCACCAAAAATTAATGAGCACCACAACTACAAATTATATATTAACAGATTTTATCCTTACAATCTTTACTTTAAAGCAGATTTTAAATTGGTTTATATTAGCTGTCAATCACTCAGTCACTGCTTTCCGCTTACTAAGGCGAGAAAAAGAATGGGCTGAAGAAAAGAGAAAACGAAAATAACACTGACAGATTTCTTTTGTAAACAACCTAAAGTTAATCTGAGTTTGGTTAAACACAGAGAGAGAGAGAGCTCTTCTTTGGCGAGGGTTAGGATGGTGTATGCGGTGTTAAACTTTAAATTCAGCTCTGGCAATTGCATGGAACAGGTTAGGGGTGGCTAGGGGTTAGCGATATTGACAAAAAATTATATCTCTATTTTCTGGGATTTTATCGATAACGATAATTTGACTGCGTGTAACTGTGCTGATATTTTAAGGACTACAGTGGACAGCTGACTCCTAAAGTTTTTGATATTCTTTATCAAGCAAATGAAAGTATCAACAAAATTTATTTTTGCAATGCAAGACATGGCATCTAAAAACATTAGATGCATTTACACACAGTGTAATCAACATTGTGTAATCAATTTTTTATTGTACTTTTTGTAATATTTCATTCATTTTATTTATAGCCATGTAAACGTAGTCATTGTTAATAAGTGAGTCATTGGGATTGAACCGAATCATTTAAATGGTTGATTCATTCAGGAACGAAACACCGTCATGTTGCTCAGAGACACAAAACAGTGCTGTGGCTTAGTTTGGAATTATTTTTGTTGGCGAAATAGAGCAAAAACAGGCAATATGGTGTCTAAAACGTAAGTCTCTTAATATTCATTCATTGTTTATCTTATATAAAATCAATATCACATTTGAAATCATGCTGATTTTTGGAGGAAAAAACGGCACTCTTCTTGTGGTATTGATTAACTATATGAAATGATATAAAAGCCCCATATCTTGAATTTTGTGATGCGTTTTAATAGAATGAATCATGCAGCAAAAGAACACACTCTAAATGCGCACGCGCACTAGTCTAACCTACTAGACTTCATCACGTCATGTATGCGTGCACGTTTTGTTTGGATTTTGCAATATACTCGATAATGTCAAACCGCACATCGTAAAACAACAATTACGAAATGTGTAGATTCAGTGGCGAACGCTGTTACCTGCAAACTCCGTCCCACAGGCTTTGTTTTTTTTCTTAACTTTCTGCAATGCCAAATGTATCTCCAATTATAGAATCACCCATATGCGACCAAAATGGTCGCAATTTCGAGCCTTGAATCGCCTATGCGCTTAGCCGAAGCGAGGGCAAGAAGAAGTGCAGTGTGAGAGATAGCTCCTTCATAGCAATGGATGCTAAAGTCTTGAATGGTGGCTGTGAAAGAGCTCTTAACACCACCTCTAGGTCCCAGGGCGGAACTGAAGGCGGACGTGGGGGATGCAATCTCCTCGTCCCCTTAAAGGGTTAGTTCACCCAAAAATGAAAATTAGCTTGTGTTTTACTTACGCTCGAAGCATCCTAGGTGTATTTGACTTTCTTCTTTCAGACGAATCCAGTCGGAGTTATATTAGAACTGAAGGCGGACGTGGGGGATGCAATCTCCTCGTCCCCTTAAAGGGTTAGTTCACCCAAAAATGAAAATTAGCTTGTGTTTTACTTACGCTCGAAGCATCCTAGGTGTATATGACTTTCTTCTTTCAGACGAATCCAGTCGGAGTTATATTAAAAATTGTCCTGGCTGTTCCAAGCTCTATCATTAGAGTCAGCGGGTGTTGCAGTTGAACAGTCCACAAGTCGTCAAATAAAGCTCTTGCATTCATAATAAAACGGTCTGTCCATAGCAGGAGATTCGCTGACTGCTTGTACAGAGCCTTGGATCGTACGCCCCCTTGATGATTTATGTACGAAACCACAGACGTTGTCGGTGCGAATCAGTACATGTAGCTGTTCCAGCTGCGGCCGAAAATCCTTTAAAGCTAAGAATACTGCTTCCAGCTCCAAGCGGTTTATGTGCCACCGGCTCTGAGGTTCTGACCACAGCCCTGAAGCCGGCATGCCCTCGCACACTGCTCCCCATCCGTCAAGTCGACGCGTCCGTCGTGACCACGACACGTGACGTCACCAAGCCGAGGGGAACCCCCCGGGGCTGAAGAGATCTTTGCGCCACGGCCTCAGAGCTTCGATGCAGCCGCAGGAGACCGCGATGCGTAAACGGTCTGAAGTCCACGCCGTCCAAGGGACTCGAGATTTCAGCCATAACTGCAGCGGGCGCATGTGTAGTAAACCCAGATGACAAACCGCTGATGCCGTTGCCATGAGTCCCAGCAGCCTCTGAAATTCCTTCAAGTGAACAGAGCTGCCCAGTCTGAAATGGCACAGGGAAGACAAAGTGGCCGCCAAGCGCTCTCGAGCACGTTATAGATTGACTCGGGGCGAGAATGCTCTTATGCACATTCACACACAGCCCCAAGAACTCCCAAGTGACGAAGCAGTTTGTCTATATGGCTGGCTATAGTGTGTCCCGTGACTGAGCTAAGATCAGCCAGTCATCCAAATAATTGAGAACGCGCATCCCGCTCGCTCTGAGGGGGGCGAGAGCTGCGTCCATGCTCTTCGAGAAAGTGCGCAGGGCCAAAGCCAGCCCAAACGGGAGAACAGAGTACTGGTACGCTGTGCCCTCGAAAGCAAATCTCAGAAAGCGTCTGTGATGCGGTGCTATCTGAATGTGAAAGTACGTGTCCTTTAAATTCACGGACACAACCAGTCCCCGGGGCGAATTCATGCTAGGATCTGTTTCAGCGTTATCATCCTGAACGTACCCTTGCAGAGTGCTCTGTTGATGGGCCTGTGATCTAGAATCGGGCGGAGTCCTCGATCTCTCTTGGGCACCGCAAAATTGAGGCTGTAAAACCCACTCTCCAGCTCGCTCGGAGGGACTCGTTCTATTGCTGTTTTCCGAGCAGGTTGCATACCTCTTGTCTCAGAACCAGGGCATTTCGAGGCAATGTTAGAGACTGCACTACGGTGTTGAAACGGGGTGGTCTGCGTCAGAATTGAACGGCGTACCCACACTCTATCACACCGAGTTACCAGCGCGAGATTCCCGGAATAGTTTCCCACGCGCTCAGGAACTGACATAGCAGCTTTAGCGGTTTAGTCGTAGGATGCGCCAGCGAGTGCTGCGTGGCTATAACCTGTGTGGGCAGCAGCTCTGCACCGCTCTATGGCGGGGCAAGTGGCGCTACATTGACTGAGTGAGGAGGAAAGAGCTCTTTTGTGCAAATGTATGCATTTTTTAATGATCACACACTAATCAAACACAAATCTGAACAAATTTGAGACAGCTTGTGGCGCTTGGGGGCTGGGCCGATCGCGTACGCTTCCCTCCTCTCTGGGCTGTCAGGACGACAGCTTGGCTGCTGATGGCGGGCGGGAGTCACGGCACGGACTCCTCTGCTTGCTGTGGCGCCTCTTCCCGGGTCCCTTTACACTTTTCTCCGCACATCCGGCTCCTGGCGAGGGGCAGCAGCGGTCAGCGGCTGCGGGCCTGGTGTCCCTGCACTGCGATGAGCCGTGCGCCAAAGAAGACCTCGATCTCACAGTCTGGTGTTGGAAAGCGTGCCTTGGTGTAACGTGGCTCATAGCTTTGCATGGCGTGCTTTTTAACCGGTGTGGGCGGCGGCATCTGCGCCTGTCACTACAGACTGTGAATGTCACTGAAGCGGGGGCTGGTATCATGTGAATAAGAGAGCAGTGTCTTCCAAACACGGCAGCCGCTGATGAGGGGCTGGTATTGTGTGAATAAGAGAGCAGTGTCTTCCAAACACGGCAGCCGCTGATGAGGGGCTGGTATCGTGTGAATGAGTGAGGAGCCAGTGATTGTGCTTTGCACACGGCAGAACGCTGCTCTGAGGCGGGGGGCTGCACACTTAGACAGTGGGTTGTGCGGCATCTGCAGCGACATGAGAACCCATAGCTCCAGTATCTGCACTCGGTTCTCCGCTCCGCCATGGAAGGGGGACGTGAGAAGCCGGGCTGATGTCCTGCAGGTTCGATGGGTGAGAGGAATGCGGACATTTTGTCGGCATGAGCTCATCACCAGAGTCCTTAAGGTCCACCACTGATCGAGGGCAGACGGACTCATCTGGCATCTGAAGAAAAATGTCATACTCACCTGAACGCTGCAGAGGAGCGGCAATCCAGGCACCGCCCTCTGATGAGCAAACCTCAACTGTGAGCTGTAAATAGTTTATAAGCTATATTCTTAGGTTGTTCAGCAAAGTGAAGGAAAAGATTCTGACGTAATTGTCGCGTGCACTGCATTTTATACTGCCTCTCGAGCGCGTCAGTATTTGCATGTGATTTGCATACTTCGCGACAATTGGCCAGTCATTTGGACTGGCGTAAGCCAAAAGGACTTCAAGAAAGGTTGGAAGAGAAGGTGTTCCCATAACGGAGAAATGTCTCCGTGATGTCTCGTGAAATGTATCGTTTTGTTTTTCCAGGAAACAGGCATGAATAGTATATCCATTTTTTTCCTACACCCTATGACGCTTTCAGTGAATTATGGGAGTAACTTCCACAGAAGTGTAAACAATCAGATACTGACAATAAACTTGTTTAATGATTAGCTCTAAAAAATGCCACATATAAGCATTTACAAAATGGGAGATTCTTAGTACATTCCAGTGAATTATTTGTGGGATATTGTTCATTAAATCACAATAGCAGACCATGGGCACAGTGTCTTTTGTTTTTTTTATATTGTTACAGCAGAAAAGTAAAAGAAAATAATCAGATGGATGGAACACAGAGAACTTAAGAGGTTTTGAAACATATAAAACCTGACATATAAATGGGGTGTATCTACGTATAATAGATAGATAAAAATAAAGAATGACGGAAAACATATAGCTCATTCAGTCAATCTAACAGATAAGGATTATTTGTAGTGCACCCTTAAAATATGAAATCATTTGTTTCAGTGTATTTGAATGACAATTGGCTAAACCAGAAGTGCTGCCCATATGTTTAAAAACACAGTAAGACATTCCCTCAGACAAAGGTGGATAACATATTTCTATTCTAAGAATTGTCTGGTGCTGTAATATAATATTAAGAAAGGGCACTTTGTGACTTTGTGTTTTCTGTAAACTGTGTATAGCCTCGTAGCATAATGTTGATACTAGTAACTAATAATGCTTTGCAAACAGAAAAGTTTTAGCTTAATGCTTGATCCTAATCGGGGTCGCAGCATGCCGCTACTGTACACAGAAATAACCAAAATCTTCACTGGTAAACATGGTACATGCACATGACTTCCATTTGCTTTTGATCATGAAATGGATGCATAAAGTTTGATAAAGTATGAGCAACATGGGAAAAAAAAGTAAAAACTGGTAATAAACTTTAATTAGCTGATCTCATTCAAGCATTGTAATTTAATTTCAACTGCACGTCTTACTCAAGTGAGTAAATCATACTAATTTACTATTGTTTAAAAAGATAATCTAATCACCTCCTAGTAATGTTTTTTTCAAATATAAGAATAGAATGGAGCAGAAGTTGTACTAATAATAATAATTATGATGATCAAAATAGTACTGCGTCAGATTACTGTAACGCATATGTTTTGTTTATTTCCACAGCGGAATGTACACAGCCTTCTTTTGCATCAAGAAATGTCATTTTATCAGCAAACCATCTCTCGAGACACTAGTGTTTCCCACAGACTTGCAAATACAAATTGATTCTCTGCCAGCAGGAGGCGCTGTTGGAGCGGAGATATAGCGGTTTCCCCGGTAACGGCTGTAATCAAATACAAAATGCTAGGAAAGACTAAATGAAAATGACATCAAAGCTTTTCTGAAGATGGTCGACCTCAGGCACACAGTCACTCAATTAGGATACTCTGAATTCATTAACCCTCAAATGGTCCTCATTTCCTGTTTACACTTCTGGTCTTTGGGGCCAATATGACCCCAAAATTGATAGTTATTGTAAAAAATATATAAATTTTTAATCATACAAATAATATCATTTTTTTGTTTACTTCTCATCTATACATTAAAGCTGTGTTTTGGGAGATATGAAATACTTTTGTACCTATTTTTGTACAAAATTCCTCAACTACACCATTAGCTTTCATGTGAAATATCACATTTTTAGGAAAAAATCACTTAAATGATTATCTAAATTTGATTTAAGTTGTTTCTGGATATTGATCTAGGTGTTGGGTGTAGAATTCTGCCATCTGGCGGTTAGAGAAAAACTTGTAGAAATTAGAGTTTTTGAAAGAATTGTGTAATGACCATAAATATCCAGCAGAGGTCCATAGAGATCCATTCATTTTTCTGGAAGTGGCCAACTGCTCCTCTCACAACTTTTCTGATATATATTTTGTAAATATATATATTGAAACATTATAAAATACATAAAAAACAGTATTTTTCTAAAAGGTTAGACTTTGTTTTTGTTGTTTGAGGTATTTTGCAATAATGCCACATAAATTTGCAGAAATGCCACACAAGTTTGCATGCACATATTTTTTCAATCTAAAAAGTAAAATCAAAACAATTTTATTTTACTTAAATGTAAATAAAACCAACACCAAAAAAAAAAACAACTGCAATAAGCAGGTATGAATGGTGGGTGTGTGTGTGTGTGTGTGTATACGTGAGTGAGTATGCTCGTTCCACATTGTATTTGTGCTCTAGTATCAGACCTTCGTTTTTGTGTGGACATTTTCAGATTTATGCAGGATTTATTGATTTTATTTGCCAATTTCTATAAAAATGTCCTCTGTTGCAGTCACGTGTGTGTTTGTGTGTGCGTGTGAGTGAGCATGTCTTTTCTACATTGCATTTGTGCTCTAGTACTAGGCCTTCATTTCTGTGTGGAAATTTTCAGATTTATGCTGGATTTATTGATTTTTTTTTTTTTGACAAATGGAAAAAAATAGAGATTTTTTTTTGCATTTCCCATTCATTTTCAATTGGGGTCATATTGACCCCAAAGACCAGATTTGTAAAAAAAAAAAAAACAGTATTTTTTTTTGGGGGGGGTCAGTAAATTTAAAAAAAATATATTTTTTAAATTTATATTTAAAAAATATAAATTAATTTTTATAAATAAAAATAAATATTTTTATTTATAAATAAAAATAACATATTTATAATGTTAAAGATTTCTATTTCAGATAAATTTTGCTTTGAAATCACAGGAATAAATTACATTTTAAAATATATTCAAATAGAAAGTTATATTTAATTATACATTTTTAAGTCACTTGCGAAACAATGCAATTGACGCAAACGTTATGTGGCAGTTACTTTCAAACGCGGATTTGCTCTATTTTTGTCCCACTACCATAGACATCAATGTTTGTATCTGAATTATAAACTTTCATCCGTGCGTACACGTGTTGTGATTTAAAGGAGACATATGCTTCTTTTTACAATATGTAATATAAGTCTCTGGTGTCCCCAGAATGTGTCTGATTTAACTATATTAGTTTAAACTTCTGATGTACAGTTTTCTGAGTGCACACATTTGAAGCACATGGACAGAAAGCGGCTGTCACAGCATGTGAGTACTGAACTAAGTTCACATTCTCACAAGTTTACGTCGGTTATGTCTGTGAAGGTAAACAGCTGGGAAATAAATCGCATGTTTATTTTAGATCTGTGTGGCAGCAGCAATATACAGTAAATAAATGAATAAATCCACTGCTCTCTTGTCTCCTCTGAGGCTGTGACTCTAAATAGTGTTCTGTGCTTTTCAGTGCAGCCAAAGCAGTGTTAATTTAGTTGACAAATAATTTTCGTCAACAACATATTTTCACTGACGATAACAATGTCAATATGGGGGAGTAAGAGAAGAGCAGACGTGTATAAATCTGTCAACGCAAGAGAAAACTCAATTCAGTCCGGTTTTCTGAGCACAGAAGTGCGTCTCTCAGCGCGCGAGTACTCTTTCGCGTCGCATGAATGGAGAATTGTCCGTTTTGACGAGTATTCGCGTAAATACAGTTGATTACGTCTTAAGTGAACGTAAACCGTAGGGAGAACGTGTATCAGTGCATTGCATCCATTGCAGCTGTGCATTCGGTTTTAAAGGGACAGCAGCCTAATTTAGTTCCTATTGTCCGAGTCATTGATGTTAATCAAGCAACAACAGAAAGACAGAAAATCATGCACTGCTCTTGACTGAAAAACTTTAGTAGCCCTAAAGATTAATCTAAATTTATTTATAGAAATAAATGTGTCTGCTTGAAAGAATGAAGAATATGGTAAACCAGTTGCTATAAAGAATGCATAAATTAGCCTATATAACCATTGGTATTTCATGAAAACGAAGACCATGTTCTTGTTCTTTATGAGAAGTGGGTTTATTTAATTTTAACATAAAGGCATGTTGTGTGTCACCGCAGTTAAATCGGTGTCTATCATGATAAAACCTTAATATCAAACCTATATAAGGAGTTTGGAAATTTTAGAGAAATGCTTAATAAATGCACTGTAACTAAACCCATTAGATTTTAACCGACTAAATTTACTGTAGATTTAGTCGACTAAAACTAAAAACAATTCAGATGACTAAAATATGACAAACTAAATGGCATTTTAGTCAAAAGACTATGACTAAAACAATCAAAATTTGCTGTCAAAATTAACACCGAGCCAAAGGCAGAACAGTTAGCATGTTTTGCTCAAACTTTTGCCATGGCATTAGAGCTGGTACACCGTTGTCACTTGCGAAATCAAAATGACGGCGCCGTGGGTGCTTTCAGATTAAGGGGCGGTAATATTATAATGAGATCCCTTTGCAACGTCTCAAGGGGAGCGAAATCAGACTCACTCATTTTTTCAGACGCTTGCAGAAAAAAGCTTATCAAAACAAAGTTACTGGGTTAATCTTTTTCACGTTTCCTTGGTTGGTAGATGCACCGGGGACCTGATCATAGCACTTAAAACCTGGAAAAGTCAGATTTTCATGATATGTCACCTTTAAGGCAGACATTTTTCATGAGAAATTCTTTTGTGTGTACAAATACACTATACACAATTACTGGTGAATGAGACCCATTGTTCTAAAGGTCCTTACAAAACCCTCCCCAGTGGTGATGGTAGCAATGAAAGCAGATGAGTAGATGAGATTTGTGGGAGGAACCTGGCACAAATTTGTACAGCGCATACACAAATGCACAAATGTTACTTTTAACACATGCAATCCTGCCACATACTGTTAAAGATAATTTTGACACAATAAAATTCTTAACAGAATTAAATAATTTATATTTAAAGTGAATGAAAGTGAGTGAATCATTTCATCATTAAAAAATTTCCCCCCACCTCTGCTAAAATGATAAATGAGCTGTTGTCAGTACAATTATCTGTATCATTGCCAATAAAGCATTAACATCTATTAACTCTAAGAATAAATAACACTCTTTAGCATTTTGTGATACCTGCACTTGTACTGACAACTTGATACCTTTTTAGCTTTTTTATATTGGCCATTATTTTATCAGTTTACATAAATGTCAGTTCTACTGCAGAAAGATTCTTGCAGATAAGCAGTGTTGCCAAGTCCGCGGTTTTCCCGCGGAATTGGGCTACTTTAACACTGTTGCCGCGGGTTGTTGTTCATGTCCGCGGGTTGAAGCGACCTCAATAACGTGATATTTAGCCCCTGGAATGTGAATTTTACTGGAAGATCCCCGCCGAAAAACGTGTATTTTACCCCCGAATGCGATTTTTACAGGGGAACCCCCCTCGAAACATGATTGGACTAGTTTTATTGCGAAAACCTGGCAACCCTGTTCATTAGTGCCACCTGCTGTCAGAGAGTGCATCTCATTCAGACCTGCTGTTGTTTCGCGCAGATGTTTTATGTAGCAAATAAATAAATAACACCTAAAGTCAGACCATTCTGTTTTTGTTTTAAATCCTGAAATTAATCTAAATCAAATAAAAAAACAACTACCTGTGCAGAACTTGATTAAAATGCAGTGGTTGCCTCTAATTTCAAATGGCTAGATATTTTTGTTTAAAGCCAGTTTGTTTGTTATAAAGCAAATAGCCAATAAATAAATTTGCTTAAAAATCAGTATCAGTATCAGAATCCAATTTGCTAGTTAAAAAAAAAGAAAGAAAAAAATCTGAATTCTGAATCAGCTATGACCGGCGCATCACTAATTAAAATACTAAGTAAAAGGCCTCAAATTTGAAGTACAATCTGGGATGTCTTTTTCTATCAATTCTTCAATAGGTAGATCTTGTCTTTCATAAAGGCCGAGGTCAGGGATCTTGGGCCTAAAAAGGTTGGTGACCACTGATATAAGAGATCATTGTACTATAAAAAGATCCTGTAAGTTTCAGAACTCAAAACTTTCTCATTAGTCCAAAAACAGCTTATATTGAAGAAAATCTGCCAAATCGACAGGTTGCGCGGAATGTACCACTTTATGACATAGTGTTGCTAAACCCCGCCTCCGCAGAAGATCAACGCCTGCTTTTACATGACTGCCTGTTTAGCTCTGCCAACTGATTCACGCGTGTAGTGTAAATAAGAGAGGCAAACTCAGGTCTATGTAGTAACCAAATGATAAAGATGCTCCAAAGACAAGATGCTGTGCAGTGCCAAGCTGTGGAAAAACACAATCTTTGCATAACCTTCCATCGGATTCCAACATTAGGAAAGAGTGGATGAAGTTTATTTTTAATGAAGATCCAGACCGCGTCAGTAAGAACTTGAAAAAAGGCAGTTCATGACCTTTTAATGTTATTAGATCTTTGTAATGGGCCTGTTAGGAGAATGATCTCTCTTTTTTTTTTTTCGTTTTTTTTTTTCTCTTAGCATGAGTCTAATCTCTGGTATAATTGCATAACTGTTTACTTAAACTGTCTGTCCACTGTATCTTTTTTTTAAATAATCTACTCCATCTATAACCTTATCCATCTGTTTGTATTAGAATTTAAAAATTTTTCCTCTTTTATGGTTTCCTAACTGTATTTTTTTTTATGCCACAGGAGACACAACACCTACAAGTACAAGTACAAGTACACGTAAGTATTAGTAAAAAAAAAAAAAAAACATTTTTACTATACTATTCAGTAGAGCTGATTCCTCTTGTCAGTAACGGTCACCCTTGGCTCCTTGATCTGAAATGTATGAAACTGGTGGATTATGAAATGTGATAATTCTAGTATTTCTGTAAATGCAAGTTCATATATTTGACGGAGTGTGACAGCTCAGAGATTGAGTATCTTATAATAGGCTGGTTTCTGAGCATTCTGCAGGTCATGTCATATTTCTAGTTAGACATTGTAGTTAGTTTTAAATGAATATTTACTTCTGGGTTATGGTTAATTTTGTTGCAAGTGTTACAAAGGGATTTCACATTTTACAAAGTGTTTGTCTTAATCCATTAAACAATGTATTTATTTATTTTGTTTTATTTATTTTTAGCAGCTCCATGGGTTGTTGCAATGATTGTGATTGTTGTGATTGGTCTGGGTAAGTCAGTCTGCATATTTCACATGATAATCTACATGTCCTATACCTTCTTATTCAATACAGTTGTAACTTCTCTTTCTTTTATTTTTAGATTAGCCACAAATGAGGGTTCATCACTAAGATCAAATAAAGCAGTTTATGAACTTCAGCAAACAGTCTCTTTTTTGTTGTTGTTGTTTTATTCCCCAAATGCTAAATATGTTCAAGTGAAAATTAATTATAATATATACAGAATAAAGAAACAAATAAACAAAATCAAGACCTTGTCCTTGATTTTACACCAAAGAAATCGTCTTTTAGTACTTATCTGAGAGATTATGATCCATTCCGTGGCAAAAATGAATTATTCTTTCCGAAGAAAAACATTGAGTGCGTTGATTAAAAAAGAGAAAACTGGGTTCTGTGTGGTATGGTCTCGACAGGGCATCAGGAACCACATTACACTGTCCTTTACGGTACCGCACAATGAAATGAAACCCCTGGAGCCGTATTGTCCACCTTACTAACCTGGAGGATGGCTTTGGATGTTGGAATGCCCAGACCAATGCAGCATGATCTGTTACCACCTCAAAAGGTTTGCCCTCCAGGTAATGTCGCCATTTTTCCACAGCCCATACGACTGCTAGACACTCTTTTTCTGATGTAGAGTATGCTCTCTTCGCTCCCCTCAAAAGCCGAGATGCATATGCCACCACCCGTTCTTGTCCTTCATCTTCTTGAGTTAAAACTGCCCCCAAACCATACTCACTGGCGTCTGTCTGGACTTTAAAAGCACGGTTAAAATCAGGTGAGACTAAAACCGGAGCACTGATGAGATCTTGTTTGATTGTCTCAAAGGCTCGTTGGCAATCTTCAGACCAGATCCATTTTGCACCTTTTTTCTTTAGAGCGTGAAGTGGAGCAGCTTTCTCAGAAAAATTCTTTATAAACCTGTGATACCAGCCTGAAAGACCCAGAAATCTTTGGACCTCCTTGACTGTTGTAGGTACTGGGAATGACTGGACAGCCGATATCTTCTCCGGATCGGTCTTGACTCCATCTGCAGAGATGACATGACCTAGAAATGTCAGTGACGGCTTGATGAAGTTGCATTTCTTCAAAATTAAGAGACAAACCCGCTTTGTGAAGACAAGTGAAAACTTTCTGGAGATGTTGAATGTGGGTTGAAATAGAAGGAGAGTAAACCACAATATCATCAATGTAGACCATGCAGAATTTGTTTTTGTGCTCTCTTAGCACCTGTTCCATAAGCCTTTGAAAAGATGCTGCTGAGTTTTTAAGGCCGAAGGGTAGACATAAAAATTCATATAATCCTGAAACTGTACAAAACGCTGTTTTTTCCACACTGGACTGTTCCATCTCCATTTGCCAGTACCCACTTTTGAGGTCTAAAGTACTGAAAACCTTGGCTCCTTTCAGTGATTCCATGATATCTGTAATTTGTGGCATAGGATAGGCATCCAGGTGAGTCTTTGCATTCAGTCCTCTGTAATCTACACAGTCTCATATTCCCATCCTTCTTGTCTACCACTACTACTGGTGATGCCCACGGAGAGGTAGAAGGCTAGATGATTTTCTTTTCAAGCAATTCTTTCATTTGCCCTTCAATAAAATCATTTTTAAAAACAGAGAATCTGTATGGCTTTTTTTCTTACCGGCTGCTGATCAGTTGTGATGATCTGGTGTCGTATAACGTTGGTTCGGCCTATGTTTTGTGTGCATACCGTTGGCCATTTCAACATCAGGTCTTTAAGCTGTGCTTGTATTTCTGGTGTTGTTTCAGCATGCATAGCAGCTTCGACGATGAGGTGATGGTCTGCCTCACTGATGGGATCCGGGATAGCCATGTAAAAATGGTTTGTGGACGGTCCATCATGTGAAAAAAAGGGAATGTGCATTTCTTTTGTGCATCATCAGGAAGATGAAAGTGCAAAGTGTTAAAATCCAAAACCATTTTAGACTTTTGCAAAAAGTCAAGACCCAGAATTATGGATACCGCTAAATCCTTATCTTCCATCACAAAAAAATTCCACTTCAAACTTTTCTTCTTTGACCTGACACATCCATTAGAATTTTTTATTCCATTACTCTAAGTATATGGAAAAACTGTGACAGAAATTTCACTCTGTTACACAGTCACCAAACCTTTTGTTAAGTTGTAGCAGTGTTATGCTTTAAAAATGAGTTTGGGTTCCAGGGGGAAAAAAAACAACAGTTCTAAAATAATTTTTTCCAAAAATATAATCAGTCAGCTCATTTTTTATAATGAACAAAATGCAAAGAAACAGAGAATGTTTTAATTTTACCTTTTTGATAATGACTTTATATTCTGAAAAATAAGTCTTACCTGATTATCACACCAAAAATTGCATTGTTGAGAGAGAGAAACCGAGAGAGAAAAAAAGATGTTAACGTATAATAAACATGTTTGTTTTTTTTTTAAGTTCTCGTCACTCCACAACAAATCGTTATTTTGCATTCCTGTTCTGAATACTGTTCAATTTAAAGTAAACTTAATGTATATTTTAGTATAATTTATTATTAACAACATTTATTATAATCTATTTAAATCATAACTGAATCTACTGGTGTGTGAGAAATGTGCTAAACATATACACTTGGGCTGATATTCCTCCCTCACTGAGCATAAATCCAATTGTGCACTTCGTCCAATCCCCCTGACAACTGTCACACAGTATCAGTTTTGTTTTTATTTGTGAAATATTCAAGAAAATTAGTTTTGTTGTCCTTTTTATGTAGGATTCTGACATTGTTAAAATAAGAATTTGGTCTTTTTTTTAATTACAATCAAGGTTAATCATTTGTAACACAATTTCTTTCTGTTTATTAGGTGTGGTTGGGATGCTGTGTTTCAAAAAGAATCGGTAAGTTATTTGCGCTGTCTCAGTTGCTCCTTATGTGATTTCTAGGCTGTTGTTCTTATACTCTTATATTGGGTAATAAATGAATACTTTGCATTCAGTGGTTGCAAAACAGGAGGAAGGTTTGGGTAAGATTTCCACACATTTTCCATGGGAAATGGAGATTCCTTTGAGGTGAAGGTTTAGTATACCAGCTGTTTAGTCATGCACATGCTGACTGTTGGATTGCAGCTCAAAGCATGAGTATTTTGAAAAGGTGATGACTCTTCCTTGGTGTAGAACTAGACTACCCATAATCCTGCAGAGAACGCCATCTTTCAAAGAAATCTCTGCTCCCATGAATCATTGCAAATGACACTTGAGTCAGTATCCCAATTACCCCGCTCAAGCCGTGATCCTATTCACAGGGCTCCTGACTGTGAATACTGTATGTAGACGTTCCCTTTTCCAAAAATCTTATTTTTGCAGATATATCTGCATACATTTATTTTTTGATCAGTTGTATCATTTTTAGTTTTAGATATGTCATTCACAATGCTCCACAAGCAGTTCATTCTATCATGAGCATTTAAGTGCCCATTTTTATTCTACTTTTTGCTTCAAATCAAGAGATTCATCTTGGTGGTTTCAGCAGAGAATGCTGAAAAAGTAGACACTTTTTTTGAGCAGGTAGTTAAATATATATGCAATGTATCAAACCACAAAATGCTTCATTGTGCATAAAAATTCTCAGGAAAGAAGCTCCCATGAAAAATTATTGTGGAAAATTCTTCACTTCTGCAACCATTAATGCTGATAGTCTACATGGGAGGCTGTGTGCTGCTGTTTTGTTTTTGCTTGTTTTTTGTGGGGGGGATTTCTGTGTTTAGCTATGGGATGAGGTCTTATAAGTGTCTGCTGGATTGAGGTTTAATATACCCAGTTATTTAGTCATGCACATGCTGACCATCACTGCGACTTTTGGATTGCAGCTCAAAACGTTCTGACAAGGTGGCAACTAATAATCAAGATGATCCATTATAACACCCTCACATACGTGGTAAGGACAATGGGAACTATGGATCTCTGCAACTTTCTCTAAGACACCGGCAACATGCATAGCTGCTTTCTTTACCACAAGGCTGACAAAAAAACGTTCAGTCAACATTGTCCTTAAAATCATCATTACAAGGAGCAATCAATTGAGATATTTAGTGGTAGTTTAATCATTCAACTAGAAAAAAGGATGTTCATAACATGATTACAATGCATTGCTCTGATTGCAAATCTAGTGACGTGAACTGCTCATTTGAATCTGTAGAATATACAATGTATGTTTCACAACAACGCCCAACAAAACACATTGTAAAATAAAAACATACTGAACATGAATCCTACTGGACATGGCATGTTGAAGGCATGTTTTGAATGGAATATTGCTCCAGTGAGCTTAAATATACAATAGTCACTTCAATATACTTTGCATCCTGTTGTACAGCCAACAGCAAAATTCTGAAAAGCTATTTTCATTTAACAACAAATTTAAGTCTACTATAAATCATTCAATCTTTATATTTTTTTAATTTTGCGCATCTCATAAATTAATTCAAACAATTATCCATTGAAAATACATGAATACTAGGTACTTCTGACACTTTTATTACACTCTTAAAAAATGCTGGGTTGTTTCAACCCAACTTTGGGTCAAATATGGACTAACCCAGCTGTTGGGTTACATTTTTAAATGAAATTTTTAACCCAAAAGTTGGGTTAGTCCATATTTGACCCAAAGTTGGGTTGAAACAGACTGGTCCGTCTTAGGCACTTAAATTGTACATTTGGCATTATTAAATATTGGAAACTCTTAATTCTCTTAATGAAAAAACATACAAATCTAGTACAATACGAGAAACAAACCACCAGATTTAAATGACAAGCTTGACAAGCTA